CAAGCTGCAGCTCACCACGAACCCGGCCCCCTGACACCTGTGATACACAACCCAGACCTGGCGGGAGGCCTGACACAGGGGGATATGGAGGGACTGGGGGAGGGGACGAAACAATACCTTCGGGCATGGTGTGCTAATAAAGCCCTAAGGCCGCTGGAAGACATGCTGGGCCAGAGTAGGGAGACAGGGATCTTACAATTTAGGTACCACCAGATACGCCGGTACTATGCCACACTTCAGGGGAAACACCTGATCCACCGAGACCTCACACACTTTGAAACGCTATGTGAAGGGGGATCACACCCGACACGCGGGATATCGACCCTATATGCCATGCTCCTGGGTGCCGATGCGGGTCCCCCGGCACACTTCCACTCAAAGTGGGAACAAGCCACAGGTGTCACCTTAACGGAACCACAATGGGAGCAAATACACGTCCTTCCCACCAGGGGATACTTAGTTCTAAAATGCAGGAACTTAATTATAAACTATTGACGCACTGGTACCGGACCCCCGCACGACTCCATGCCATGGGGGTCACCCCCGACAACAAGTGTTGGAGATGTGACATCGCCGAAGAGACGGCATTACACCTGTGGTGGTCTTGCCCTCGGATAGCCCCCTTCTGGCAACAGATCCATGACAAAGTGGTGGACATCCTGGGGGAGGACATCCCCATGGAGCCCCTCCCTATGCTTTTAAACCACACTCAGATACCTCTGGGGCGTTACAAGAAAACCCTTATCAGACACTTTCTCAACGCAGCCAAAAGCCTCATCCCCGCCAGATGGAAATCGCCAGTTGTCCCAAACATTACTCAATGGATAGAAAAAGTCGATGAACTTTATAACATGGAAATTCTTACGGCAGAACTCAGGGGCACGCAAGACCGCTGCACTCGCCTGTGGACACCGTGGATCTCCTACAGCTCGGACCGGAGGTGGGGGCGGCCGAGGGCGGACCGTCTGAGGCCAGATGAGGAGGCGGAGTAGCGTGGGAGGAGGCTGGATTGCGGCCGCGCGGGACCCCCTCCCTTCCCCCCCCTCCTTCTTCCTTTTTTTTTTTTTCTCCCTCCTCTCTTCTTCCTCTTTTTCTCTCACTCTCTCTAACTCTTTCTCTCTCTTTCTCCACATGCCTCAATGACGAAGCAAAGGTGACCGACAGGGGAGGAAAGGGGACCTTGACTGGAGTTAACACATGACAGCCACAGATAGCAGGCAGGCCGGAGACAGCCCGGCCACGGTTAAATTAACAACTCATCGGAGGGGGGGGGGTGCCGGACCTCGGGCATTACACCCGAACGACACAGAATTCCACCGAGGGGGGGCTCGCGGGGACCGCATCTGGACCCAAGGGGACCACCACCCCCTGCGCGAGCCAGAGGAGCTTTACTCCCACCAAGCCAAACAAGGTCCTGCACCTCGCCAACTACAATGTATGCCCACGCACATGGTGGAACACTTGCTAAACGCCGGACGAAAGGCAAACCACAGCGGTCCCGGCGGACCCCACTCTATAAGGCAAATAGGCTCGGGGTTGGTCGGGGAATGGTGTTCCCCTCTAAAAGGCAGGTCCAACATAAGTCTACTAAGATCACTAGGCCTAAGAAACGGAGAAATGAGGCCGGATCAAGACTGGTGGGGATGGGGGGGGTTGGTGGGGGGAAGGGAGCTAATACGGCGGGGAGGGAGAGAGGGGGAAACCTAGGAATAAAACCCTACAAATATTGTTGGCCATAAGGCTTAGGGGCCTTACAAAACCTGTTATACCGTGTCTTTTGATATGATTTGACCTGTCTTGTAACCTTACTACATACAAATAAAGAATGTCAAAAAAAAAATAAAACAATAAAAAAATAAAAATGTCATTTAAAAATCAAGTTGCAGAACGCCATCAAAGCTAAAAGATCCCACTTTACATATGAATAGCAACAGTTTATCAAATGCAACATTTCCTTTGAACTTGTGTTTTTATAAAGTAAAGTCTTAATACCTTTTGTTTATAGATATACACTTAGGTAAAGGAAACAATGAGGAAACAACAATTTCTGCATTATCCAAAGAGCAGCAACAGAGAGAGAGGTCAGACTGTAATTTCTGTAAAATCTCCAGTTTGTGTCAAACCTCAGTGCACCCAAACACTCCTTGTACCATAAGCACTACTTTAAGCAGTTGTTGTTATGGTGCTAAGATTATTAGCAGTTTTCATCTTATTTTAAACAGAAGGGAATATTGATGCACTTTTCATCTCATTAGAATGTGCACCCTGGAATGACATTTACTTGATAGTCATAAGGTACTCGTATTTTTCAGCAAACCAACTGAAATATAACTAAAAAACATATTTGTATTTTGTGGCTCATTTCTTTAATTATATTTTACGTTTTAGAAGGTGAGTAAAACAAAACTAACTTACATTCTAAAACTTAGTAATAATTACCATTTAACAAGCACTGCAGTTAAAGGGACACTCCACTGCCCAAATGCAAAATAAATTAAAATCACTATTTAGTAGATATAACCCAAATCAAAACTTACATGTATTTTTTCATTGGAGTCCTATCTAAAAACAGGCTGTTTTCTTGTCTGCTGCCTTTTCAAACCCTCTCCTTCACTCCCCACCCAGACTTACTGTGGCCTGTCCTATCACACACTTCAATGCAGCTCAATGAGAAGCATTTGTAAGTCAGGTGTTCTGGGCAATTGCTGCCTCTTGAGTTCAGTGCAACTAAGCAAACCAAACCAGGAAGTAACATTAAACTGGGACACTATTGGATGGAAGGTGAGTTTATCTTTATTTTTTACTTTGTTTAGGGCACCCAATAAGCTAAAGACACCAGGAACTGTAATATTGTAATTAAACATACACTCTAAAATATTAAAGTGCTAGTTAAAAAAACAAGACCATGATGATTGGAGGAATCTGTTATACAACTCATAAAATTATCTGAGAGAAACAGATCCCCATTTACTCTTTGCTTCCTTCACCCATGGCCAGTGGGACGCATGGTGTGGAGGCTGTGGAGAGCCAATCTCAGTTACCACTTGCAAACTGTCCACTACTGAGCTTGCCTGGTCCTGGACTCAGGGCTACAGACCTGAACACAAACATGCATAGCAAAGCAGTGCATACATACACACTCCACAGAGCAATTTTGCTTGCACACCATCTAGATACATGTCTATGCCATCCTAAAGTTGACCTTGCCATCCACGTGCATTGTGGATGAACAAAAATTATTTAAAGAAGCACTCCTGGCAGAAACGACTCATTCCTTTTTTTTTTTTAAATAAAATATAAACATACACTCACTTTTAAAGCCACTTATTGTTTTTAGCAAATCCTCAAAAACTACTTAATCAACTATAAGCATTGCTCACTCCAGGAGGCAGCTTGACCAATAGGAAGCCTTTCATTCTGGTATATGGAGTCTTAGGTATAATTAACCCAGCACTACAAGGGTTAACATGTAAAGGGTAAGTCCCAAAAGATAAACAATAGCCCACACAAACATGGGTAATCTTCGAATAAGTCACAGCGAAAAGCGGAAATATGAAAAAAAAAAAAAAAGTGCCCTTTTATTGGTAAATATATGTAGACTATTTGTAGACTATTTGATGTAGGCAGCCCTCATAATTACTACAGGTTGTACAGGTATGGCATATCATACAAACTGCATGGTGTGTTGAAGTGGCATAGGTTTTCAAGTATAAGCAGCAAACTTAGGCAGAAAAATAGAAAAAGAAAAAAGAGACAAATTTATAGCGAAACTACCT